TATGGACAGTCTCTGGGCGGTGTGACTGTATGGACAGTCTCTGGCTGTGGGCGGTGTGACTGTATGGGCAGTGTCTGTGGGCGGTGTGACTGTAGGACAGTCTCTGACTGTGGGCGGTGTGACTGTACGGACAGTCTCTGACTGTGGGCGGTGTGACTGTACGGACAGTCTCTGACTGTGGGCGGTGTGACTGTAGGACAGTCTCTGACTGGGCAGTGTGACTGTATGGACAGTCTCTGACTGTGGGCGGTCTGACTGTATGGACAGTCTGGCTGTGGGCGGTGTGACTGTATGGACAGTCTCTGACTGTGGGAGGTGTGACTGTATGGACAGTCTCTATGGACAGTCTCTGGGCGCTGTGACTGTATGGACAGTCTCTGACTGTGGGCGCTGTGACTGTATGGACAGTCTCTGACTGTGGGCGGTGTGACTGTATGGACAGTCTCTGGCTGTGGGCGGTGTGACTGTATGGACAGTCTCTGGCTGTGGGCGCTGTGACTGTATGGACAGTCTCTATGGACAGTCTCTGGGCGGTGTGACTGTATGGACGGTCTCTGACTGTGGGCGGTGTGACTGTATGGACAGTCTCTGACTGTGGGCGGTGTGACTGTATGGACAGTCTGGGTGGTGTGACTGTATGGACAGTCTCTGGCTGTGGGCGGTGTGACTGTATGGACAGTCTCTGGCTGTGGGCGGTGTGACTGTATGGACAGTCTCTGACTGTGGGCGGGGTGACTGTATGGACAGTCTCTGACTGTGGGCGGGGTGACTGTATGGACAGTGTCTGACTGTGGGCTGTGTGACTGTATGGACAGTGAGACTGTATGGACAGTGTCTGACTGTGGGCAGTATGACTGTACAGACAGTCTCTGACCATGAACACTGATCTCTTACCACGTGGGGTGAGACTACGTGGACGGACTCTGTGCAGTGTGAATGTGGACCGTGTGACATTCATTGGCATTGCTTGTCAGGAGTGTGATGGAATACTCTCCACTTGCCTGGATGAGTGCAATCCGCGACAAAGCAGTCCATTTGATTGAAACTACATCCACTAACATTCATTCCCTCCACCACTGACACTCAGTAACGCACTGTGTACTATCTACAAGATGTACTGCAGAAATTCACCAAAGATCTTGGTGACCGCACCTTCTAAACCAAGGACAAGAACATCATATTCACGCTTCCCCTTTAAACCAGTCACTGTCGTGACTCTGATACTTCAGTGTTTCTTCACTGTTGCTCGTGTCAGAATCCTGGAACACGCTCATGACCTTCTGGGTGATCTTACAGCACATGGACTGCAGAGATTTAAGAAAGTAGCTCACCACTGCCATCTTCAGGCTAACTGGATAGTAAATAAATGCTGTCCTTGCCAACAACACCCCCCTCCAGCAAATGAAAATTTATGTAAATGACTTGGATGAAAGTACCAAGCGTATAATTGCTAAAATTGTTGACAATACAAAGGTAGGTAAGAAAATAAGTTGTGATGTTGGTATAGGGAGGTCACAAATCAATATGGGTGGGTTAAGTGAATGGGAGCAGTAAATAAAAGAGTAGGGAGGGTATACTTCCTATTTTCAAGGCATTAGTGAGACCACATATAGACACTGTTTTCAGTATTGGTTTCCTTATTTCAGAAAGAATGTGAATGTATTGGAAGCAGATCAGAGAAGATTTGCTAGTCTGATACCAGGAACAGCAGTTTGTCTATTCAGACAGGCTTAAAGATTGGAAGATAAAAAGGCAAACTGACGGAAATGTACAAGACCCCGGAGGTGTCTTGAGGATGGATGTGAAGGTTGTTTCCCTTGAGGGAGAATGTAGAAGTAGCAGTCACTTAAAACGTGAGGTTTCTCATTTAAGACGGATGAATTCTTCTCTTTCAGAGACTTACTAATCTTTGGAGCTCTTTCTCAAAAGGTGGTAGAACCAGAGTCTTTGAATATTTTTAAAATGGAGCTGGATAGATTCTTGAGCAATGGGGTGAAAGGTTGTTGGGGTTAGGCAGCAACATGGAGCAATCAGCTGACCTGAATGGCAGCATTGGATCAAGGGGCTGAGTGGCCTTACTGTTGCTCCTAATTCCTGCATACATTGGCTAAGAAAGGAAAGTATACTGTCTTAATCACCTTATCCACCAATCCTGTCTGTCTTAATTTACTCATGAGATGTGGTCATCATGAGCTGGGTCAGCATTTATTGCCTGTCCCTAGTTGCCTGTGAGAAGGTGTTGGTGAGCTGCTATCCTGAACTGCTGCAGTCCATGTGCTGTAGTTTGACTCAATGCACTTGAGAATGAACTCCAGGATTTGGGCTCAGTGACAATGAAGGAATGGTGATATATTTCCAAGGCAGAATGGTGAGTGGCTTGGAGGGGACCTTGCAGGTGGTGGTGTTCTCATGTATCTGCTGCCCTTGTCCTTCTACATGGAAGTGGTTGTGAGTTTGGAAGGTGCTGTCTAAGGATCTTTGGTGAATTTCTGCAGTGCTGTTGCTACTGAGTGTTGGTGGTGGAGGGAGTGGATATGGTGCCAATCAAGCAGGCCACTTTATCTTGGGATGGTGTCAAGCTTTCTGAGTTGGAGCTGCACCCATCCAGGCAAGTGAGGATCATTCCATCACACTCCTGAATTGTGCCTTGTAGATGGTGGATAGGCTTTGGGGAGTCAAGTGAGTTCCATACTGTAGCATTCCTAGTCTCTAAAATAACCACTATATTTATTTGGCGAGTGCAATTCAGTTTCTCGTCAATGGTCCTGCTACTGTCATAAATATGTGGACATTCATTTCATGGTCTGTCACTTCATCTTTACCTTAGAAGTCTCCAATGCCCCTCAATCCCTTAATGTCTGTGTGAGCTTATTAACATGCAATAGTACATAAGAACATTATTGTGCTGGGTTCTATAAATCATTATTTTGGCCATTATTTGATAACTGCATTCAGTTCTGATCACCTCATTACAGAAAGCATGAGGGTGTGCAGAGGGGATTTACAAGGATGTTATTAGAACCAGAAGAGTGCACTAGTAGCTTTGCTATGGTAAACAGGCCCCTCACAATATGGTTCCAGTGGTGTGCGTGTGTAATCGAATGGTTTGGATATGTTAGGAAACTCTTCTGGCAGCTAAGAACCTAGAGCTTCTGGCCATGGTAAGGAAAATTCCACTGCACAACAAAACCTTTTCTGAGCAGATGTCCATATTTCTATTAGTTTTAGAATAGTGATGGAAAAGGATACGCTGGATCTAGAAGTTAAATTCTAAATTGGATGAAGGTCAATTTTGACAGTATTAGGCAAGAACTTTCAAAAGTTGATTGGAGGTGGAAATTTGCAGGTAAAGGGATGGCTGGAAAATGGGAAGCCTTCAAGAGTGAGGTAATGAGTCCAGAGACAGTATGTTGCTGTTATGGTGAAGGGAGAGGCTGGTGGGTGTAGGGAATGCTGGATGACGAGAGAAATTGAGGCTCCGGTCAAGAAAAAGAAGGAATCATATGTCATGTACAGACAACAGGGATCGAGTGAATCCCTAGAAGAGTATGAAGGCAGTAAAGTATACTTAAGACGGAAATCAGGAGGATGAAAAGAGGACATGAGATATCTTTGGCAAATAAGGTTAAGGAGAAACTAAAGGGATTCTATAAATACATTAAGGACATGAGAAACTAGGGAGAGAATAGGGCCCCTTAAAGACCAGCAAGGCTGCCTACATGTGGAGATACTAAATGAGTCTTTTGCATCAGTATTTACTGTGGAGAAGGATATGGAAGAAAGAGAACTTGGGGAAATAAATAGCAACATCTTGAAAAATGACTGTATTACAGCAGAGGTGGTGCTGGACATCTTAAAACACACACAGATGGATAAATACCTGGGACCAGATCAGGTATAACCCTAGAACTCTGGGAAGTTAGGGAAGTGATTGCTGGGCCCCTTGCTGAGGTATTTGTGTCATTGATAGCTACAGGTGAGGTTGGCTAATGTGTTGGCACTGTTTAAGAAAGGTGGTAAGGAAAAGCCAGGGAACTACAGACAGTGAGCCTGACATCAGTGGTGTGCATGTTGTTGGAGGGGATTCTGAGGGACAGGATTTACATGTATTTGGAAAAGCAAGGTTAGATCATGGAATACAGGGAGAACTAGCCATTTGGATACAGAACTGGCTCGAAGGTAGAAGGCAGAGTGTGGTGGTGGCGGCGTATTGCTTTTCAGGCTGGAGGCCTGTGACCAGTGGTGTGC